GTTATTTAGAAAAAATTACCACAATAAAGCAAAGGCATTCATATAGCACATGTGGTCTAAAAGATAACAATTTGGAATATAATTAATATTAGCAGGAAAACATGTAACATAGAGAAAGAATACTTTGTTGAATTGTTTTATTGTAAAACTCCATTAAATACCTTCCCAAACAGGAAGTCAATAACATGTGAACAAAATAATGAAGGAGCTGATTTACAACAACAACAAGCAACTGGTGTTGATGGTATTGCTGCTTATATCATCATTATCAGGTGCCTTGCTTACTGGCATGGGCGATCATGCTGCTCCCCAATCTGTGATCTTCAACAAAATGCATCAGTTTGTTGCCATGACAACTTTCCATGCCATAAATCATGACTGTCAAGTATCTTCTTGTTTTGTACTACCCTGTCTCTTTTTTTCCAGACCTTTCCAGTGGTCACAAAATGTTCCAGTTTCCTTCTCATAATATGATGGCTGTCTCTTTCTGATGTTTGTGATAAGATGTCTTTGAGCCCTAACCTCTTTCAAATAATCTAAGTTTCTTTGTTTTGTTATTTAAACTGTTCAAGGAATTATAAACATATTTCTGAAAAACCAAATTAATGACATCTAAAGAAATAGTTTGGCTTGTTTATTGACATGCAAAGCAATTCATTGTTTCTATGAACGAGTGCTTCATGCATGCTGATTTTATTGTAGTTATTCTACCCCTTGGTTGTCATACAAAATTTTCTGGATCTTAAGAAAAGAAAAAGCTAATAGCCAAAAGTGAGACAGCCACTTACAGAAGGTCTTATGGCTGCTTTCATGACAAAATGTATTCTTACAAGACACAGAATAATACCCACATATAAACACAACAAAGTATTTTTATTAAGGAGAAAAAGCAGATGTTTTGCACATTCTGCAATAACTGTGTACCTTCTGAATATGAAACATTCATACATCTAAAGAAAATATGTAATTAAATAACATCTTTCAAAATAAATCATCATCAAGTGCCTTGCTGACTGGCATGGGTAATCATGCCTCTCCACAACCTGCAATCTCCAACAGCATGCATCTGTTCATGTGTTGGCAACCCTTCATGCCAGGACAAAAGTCTGCCACGAATCTTCTCACACTGTCTTCTTTTGTCTCTTTTTTCCAATAAATCTTTCCAGAGGTCACAAAATATTCCAGTTTTTCTTTTCACATATGTCCACAAATGATTTCTCATTCTGATGTTTGCAATAAATTATCTTCATGCCCTTGTTTCTTTCAAAATGTATGTGTTACACAGTATGGCTGTCCAGAAACATTTTTCTGCAAAACCACAAGAAACTGTTTCACTTGTTTATTAGCTGTCCAAGATTCAACACCATATGTTTAAACTGGCTCCATATAGATTAATTATTCCTCTTACTTCGAATGACAGGGAAATAAAGTGTAAGATGTTCTTTATTTTGTATAAAAAATATTTTGCCTGCCTATTTCACGCCTTATCTCTGGAACAGATCTTCCATCTTATTTTATCCTTGTAAAGTAAAAGATCCCTTTTCACACCTTTAGGCGCACCGGGCATCTGGGAAAAGCACCCATATTGCTACAGCCCAATCAGCACTAGGTGGGTCATGTGATCAGCATTACGCTGCCAGTCTTTACTTCCCCAGGACATACATCCTGGCACCCATTTTATAAAAATCCACAGTCAGCAGTGTGTTTCAATCACTGTACATTGGAATTATGAGTCATGTTATCCTTGTGCCAAGACTTAAATTTTTGTACTTGTCCCAAACAATTCCACTGACTGTTATACATCGGGCCCATTTCTTTTCTTTGATATCCTATTACTTCTGCTTCCCCTTATTCAAACTGAGGCCCATTCTTTTAATAGCTAAGGCCATCCTATCTTTAATTTCCTGTAGTTCTTTCTGACTTGTTCTTTCAAAATAGAAAAAGAATATATACATGACTTTACGTCTCCTTTACCACCAGACTGGAAAACTGAACACCTGTAATTCTGCCTGAGGTGCCAAAAAAAAAAACTGATCCTATGTAACAAACAGAGTAGTTAGTTGCATGTCCTTTTCAAAATGCTGTAAGAGAACTCTAGCATTGATTGACTATTGTATGGTGTTCTTTTTCTTCTTCACTCCATGTTATGTGATATTCAGAATCATGTCTATCCACAGTATTCTGTCTCTCATACTTTCAGTCATCACAGATGATGCCAGAATGTCCACATGTCCAAAATGTTCTCTCCTTCTGCTTCTTTTCCCCTCCAACATTCCCACTGTCAGCGTACTGATTCCTTCTCATGACATGACCAAAGAAGGTAGATTGTCTCCTTCAGTTGTAGGCAATCAGCTATCTTCCTGTGTCAGTTTCTTTTAAGACACTTCATTACTCTTTGTATCTGTCCAGGGTATTCTCACCATTGGCCCGTTGAACTAAATATCCACAGCTTTCACATAATTTTTTCACTAACTGTCCAACTGTCCATGATTCACTTCCA